AACTCGTCTAGGCTGGACAGGTGCTCACTTATCATTTTCTTGCCTATCTTAACTTGTGTTTCTATACTGTTTTTTATGGCACTATTTTTGATAGGTTGGTCTGTTTTTTCCCTTTGTGTAAAGACAGATGCAAAAAACGAGTTAAATAGTTCTGCTTTCTCCCTATTGCTTGTCACCTTCTTACCACTTTCTCCCACTAGGAATTCAAGAAGGTTGGATTTAAGACTGTTTGTGGCAATATAATAACTCTAGGTCAGACATGTCAAACTCGCGACGTCACGTGATGTCGCACGACGTAGCGGACTTTTTCCCCATTGCCGGCAATGGGGTGGGCGCGGTTTCCTCGTGACGCGTCCGGCCCGCGGGCCGGCAGTTTGATACCCCTGCTCTAGGTTCTGCCCCTCCCCCCAGGCCCATCTCTGCCTGCTCTTCTCCTATATCTTTTTACAGATTTTACAAGCCACCCAGAGTCTATATTAAATAGAATATATTAGAGAATTTTTATAGGCTAAAGCTAAGGCTTTAAGAAACCATGAATGCCCCTGATTGACCTTACACTGACCTTGAATTAAACACCAAAGCGTATTAACCCCGAACAATTTGACTAATTTTGGCAATAGGCAGCATAAGGTGTTATCATATAAAAGTGGCAATTGTTTTATGTTTTCAAAATTGTTATTGTTCTGTCTGTTAGCTAACTCTTTTAGCACACCAAGAAAATACCTAGAATTCTGTAATAGGTCATTCTTTCCTGTCCCTCTAATGCAGATAGTTTCCTGACTTTTTAAAAAAAAATATGCTACGGATGTGAATGAAAATATTATATTCGCTTAAGAATTTGAGGGCTACTAATCCAAAACTGAAATCCTGCATAATCTTACTTGGAATTAAATCTCACTGAATTTAGTACAACCTATTTTTGAATACACATAAATAGGATTTGGCTGAAAATACTATAGATAATCCAATATACAGTGACTAAACACACTGGACAAAATGGATTTAAATCGGCATAGGCTTGTAATTATGAAGCATTTTTTCATTTTTTAAAATATTTAATAATCCAATTAATAAACTGCTAAAATAACACACACACACACGTTAAAATAACTGTTAACAAATTAACATTTTCACACAAAAAAGGGTTTTTGATTTTTAAAACCTTTCTGATAAAAATTTCCAGACTACATCTTTCTACTCAAATAATTTTCAATTATGACTTGCCAAAACCTCTATGAATGACTCAACAAAATTCACATGCTGTTGTTTATATAATCTCTTGTCTTTTTAAAAAGTTGCTTAAACCTTTCATTACCCTTTAGTATATAAATAAACTGAATGTTGAAATATCAGGATTATAGTCCAAGATGACTGTGTAAACATTAAAAAACACTTTTATATTATTCTTCTAAATCTGGTTAATTGCTAAATTGTTAGTAGAAAAGAGATATGACTCAACAAATAGTTAAACAGCAACAAATTTTGGAGACCAGAAAGATCAAAGTACTAAACTGCGGAGAAGCAAGAAAAAACAATTTTGTGATATGCTTCTGTAAGCATCAGCTTTCATGTTGAAGAACCTGTATGCAGTCTACAGATTAGGTACATCTGTAGATCCAGGATGCTTGTAAATGAGGACTATGGATTAATTACCCTGTTTTAAAATCAAAATCTTGCCCTCCTTCATTTGTACTCTCTTGCTTTTCTACTTCCAAAAAAATGTTATGGAAGAAGAGAAACTGAAGAATATTTTAAGAGTCCTTCATCTGAAACACACACATGGATCAGGGTTATTAGGTATCTAAAGAGGCAAAGAGGAAATGACAGAAACAGACAACTAGAAATGAGGACAAATGGCAAGGAAAGAAGAAAATACTGTTTAACTTTCTTGGCTCCTGCAAAAAAAAAAACCACTGCAAAAAATATACTTAGGTCTTCATGTATGTGAAATTACTTTTTCCACCCTCTGAAAGACTGGTTTTTCAATTGCAGTGCTTTTCCAATAAACCTTTCAAGAATATATGCTAGCTATAATGTAGAACTGACAAGGGCATATTTTGCAAATTTCCCCAAAGAAGCATATAAGTCATGTGACCTGTAGATTAGTGTTCATAGATTTGAGGGGGCTGGGCTACATACAAGGAAAAGAAACAATTTACAAAAGTTTGATATAATTACTGTTGTGAAAACAACCCAAAATAGTAATAATATAAAAACTGGGACAATCAAAAAGGCAGACAATATTTGATTTTAAGGTTACACCTGCCAGATGAAGGACATGAAAACAAAGGGGAGCACATGTCCTTTTTTTGTCGGTCATCATGTAACCTTTATTTATTTATTTATTTATTTTATTTATTATTTGAATTTATATCCCGCCCTTCTCCTTGCGGACTCAGGGCGGCTGACAATCAATTAAAAACACCACTAACAATCACAAGTTAAAATTAATTAAAATGAAATATTTAAATTGTCTAATTAAAAACCTTAACTACAACTCTTGATATTTTATTTGGATATTTTATTTACTGAACTGTAGTTCAATAAAAAGTAATAAAGGTAGGGAAAAGTCTCATAAAGTAAAATACACTAGTCTTAACTCATTTACCCCTCTGTCTTCAGTTATTTACCCTGTTTGATTTTTTTCATTCCTGGACCCAGGACTGCCTTATGCAACATCATCATACCTGCCAAAACAGCCAACTTGGGTTTGACTGGCTCCTTCCCTGTTAAATTTTACTGAAGACCCTCAAAACCTGGTTTTGTCTTTGGGACCCCAAGTGATCTGTGAGTTGCTGAGGTGGCTCCATTGCTGTTAAGATCTGCCCGTTTCACCTTTTAATTTTTAAAAATATTTTTAATTAATAAAAATTAAAAATACAATACAGGCCTTTTAGTAATAACATTTTATTTAATTAAAAATTCATTTTAACCCTTTTCATCCCAATTTTTAATTTGCTGAATCTGTTTTTTTATGACTGTTTTGTAGATTTTATAGTAGGCCGCCCAGAATCACGCTTTTCCATTTAAATAGAATAGAATCAAATAACTTTGTCACTTTAAATGTTCGTTAATCAGCATACATTAAAATGAGATTTCGTTGCACACAGCCCTCAAAGGGTAAGCACCTCCAATATACGCTGCATAAGCATAACTATAATAATAAGGCATATAATAATAATAATGGCAACAAAAGCATGAACGAATAAATAAACTTTTATCTGGTGGTCGGACCCAAATTGACAGCGCAAGGCAGAAAAACCTCACAATATTTCAGGCCTTTCCCCACAGGAGCCACGAAACAACAACGCCCTTGACGTCTGCAGCACGATCATCTGAGCCATCGATCACTCTGGGTCTTCCACGCAGCCTGGTAACCTAGGCAACCACAAAACAGGTGCCCATCGAGAACCCGGCATTCGATTACCAGGCCTTTCGCTAATCCCTTTCCCCGTTCTCTCTCTGGTTTGGATAACGGTTTGAGTAGATTCTGAACCGCCGCCCTCTGAACCGCCGCCCGAAGGCTATCGACGCGGAAGCGAACGTGAAAAGCCCGTTAAAATAAATAAAATTAGTCAAGGATCGGGAATGACGCACCGCCCGAGCAACGGAACCCAAGGCGAGGGCACCGCGCACGCGCACGCGCACGGGAGGGGGGGACTCATCGGGCCGCGAGTCGAGGGGGAGGAAAAAAAAAAAAAGAGGACGTTATCCTAGCACTGCGCACGCGCAGTCTTGGGGCGAAAGCGCGGAGGAAGCCCCGGCGGGCCGTCGCCGTCCCTTGCCCGTGTGAGCGCGCGCGCGCGCGCGCATGCGCCCCGGCGGCCTTGACCCGGGTGCCTTCCTCCTGCCCGCTTCTATGGAAGAAGCGCGTCGCCCGTTTGCTCCGCTGCCGCCGTCGGGGAAGGAGGCGAGAGGCGGAGCGCCGGGAAGATGCCGGGAAAGCTGAAGGTCAAGATCGTGGCGGGGCGGCACCTGCCTGTCATGGACCGAGCCAGTGACTTGACGGACGCCTTCGTGGAGGTCTGGCGGGGAGGGGCTTTTCTGCACGGCGCTCCGCAGCAGCAGCAGCAGCAAGGAGGGGGGCATTACGTCGTCACTCCTCCTCCCCCCCCTCGCGTATTTGCATACTTTTGCATAACGCCCGCGAAACTGGTGCTACAGATGCGCCTGGTCCTGCCTCCCTCCCTCCCTGCCGCCTACTTCAAGGCAGGGAGGAGGGCAGCAGTTTTTCCCTCTTTTTTTAGATGCCTCAGGGGAGCTCGATCCCGAGCAGGGGTCTTTCCGGGTGGGGTTCCCATCCCTGAAACTTGAGATCCTCAGTTGGTAAATTGTGCAGGGTTTCCCCCTCCAGCCACGACTTGTTTCTTATGGTGATGATGATGATGATGATGGTGATGATGTAGTAGTGTATATTGGAGGTGGTTCCCCTTTGAGAGCTGAATGCAACGGAATTTCATTTTAATGTATGCTGATTAGTGTACATTTAAAGTGAGAATAAAGTTATTCCCTTCCTTCTATTCTATTCTATTCTATTCCATTCCATTCCATATTCTATTCCATTCCATTCCATATTCTATTCTATTCCATTCCATTCCATACTCCATTGCATCTATTCTATTCTATTCTATTCTATTCTATTCTATTCTATTCTATTCTATTCTATTCTATTCTATTCCATTCCATTCCATTCCATATTCTATTCCATTCCATTCCATTCCATTCCCTGTTCTATTCCATTCCATTCCATTCTATTCCATTCCATATTCTATTCTATTCTATTCCATTCCATTCCATTCCCTATTCTATTCTATTCCATTCCATTCCCTATTCTATTCTATTCTATTCTATTCTATTCTATTCTATTCTATTCTATTCTATTCCATTCCCTATTCTATTCCATTCCATTCCATTCTATTCTATTCCATTCCATTCTATTCTATATTCCATTCCCTATTCTATTCCATTCCATTCCATTCTATTCTATTCTATTCTATTCTATATTCCATTCTATATTCCATTCTATATTCTATTCTATTCTATTCTCTACTCTACTCTACTCTACTCTACTCTACTCTACTCTACTCTACTCTACTCTACTTTGCTATCTACTCTAGTCTACTCCATTCAGTCATGTCCGACTCTTGACAATTCTATAGCCCAGCTCTGTCCGCATCTTCTGATCTTGCACTGCTTCTTTGAGTTTTTCCATGCTCTGGCTGGTGTCAGCGTCGATGGAGTCCACCCATCATATATTTTGGTGGCTTGGTGTCTGTTTACCGCTAACTCTTCCCAACATAATTGCTTTCTCCAGTGAAATCCCCTGCGGGACATGGCCAAAATGTAAGAAGCAGTTTTGTGATTTTGCTTTCTGGTGACGTGTCTGGTGTTAAGAGCTTCAGGACTTGTTTGTTAGTCACTTTTGCTGTCCAAGGAAAACACTGGAGCCTTCCCCAGCACCACAGCTCAAACAAGTCGATTTTCTTCCTTCTTGCTTTTTTAAGGTCCAGCTTTCACAATCATAGGTATCTACGGGAAACATAATAATAATAATAATAATAATAATAATAATAATATATAATAATAATAATAATATATAATATATAATAATAATAATAATAATAATAATAATAATAATAATAATAATAATAATAATAATAATAATAATAATAATAATGTTGGAAGGGACCTTGGAGGTCATCTAGTCCAACCCCCTGCTCAGGCAGGAAACCCTATACCATTTCAGACAAATGGCTGTCCAGTCTCTTCTTAAAAACTTCCAGTGTTGGCGCATTCACCATTTCTGGAGGCAGGTTGTTCCACTGGTTAATTGTTCTGTCAGGAAATTTCTTCTTAGTTCTAGGTTGCTTCTCTCCTTGATTAGTTTCCATCCGTTGCTTCTTGTCCTGCTTTCAGGTGCCTTGGAGAATAGCTTGACTCCCTCTTCTTTGGGGCAGCCCCTGAGATATTGGAACACTGCTATCATGTCCCCCCTTGTCCTTCTCTTCATTAAACTAGACATACCCAATTCCAGCAGCCGTAGAGCACACTAACCTACATTTGGTTGCCAGGCTCCTCTCCTTGCTTTCCCATATTCATTTCTTATAGTAGATGGCCCTATATTTCTTATATACTATCCCTTTTTTTAGTACCCTATTTCTGCAAATTACATTGTGTACAATTGTAAGAGGTAGAAGCTGGAGTGACAAATATTTGCAAAGTTGAGATAAATCATGTTATAGATCAGGGGTCCCCAACCTGTGGTCCGCAGCCGACTACTGGGCCCTGGCCAGCGGGCTGCGGAACAGGCTGACCAGGGCGTGCACCTGTGTGCGCTGCTGCCACGGTGAAAACGGGACACTGCAACGAAAATGGGATGCCACAGGGCAAAAACGGGGCGGTGCTAGCGAGTGTCACATAGGCGCTAGCACCGCCCCGTTTGTGTCACGCGTGCTCACGGCCCCATTTGTGTGTGCACACGCGCGCATGCGTAAAATGCTTCCCCCCTCTCTTTCCCTCTGGTCCACCCACGGAAAAAGTTTGGAGACCTCTGTTATATAGATGGCTATTCTCAGCCAGGTGGAGATAGACAGGTAGTCCTTGATTTACGACCACAGTTGGGACCAGAATTTCCATTGCTAAGCAAGGTGGTTGTTAAATGAGTCGTGCCTGATTTTTTTTTATCTTTTTGCCAAGGTTTGTTAAGTGAATCATTAACTTTTCAAGCACTGCAAGGCTGCTACTTCCATTTCAAATGGTCGAGGTGTTAATGAAAAGGGAAGGAGTTATGCAGAGATTTCAGTGATGCTTCTTATATGGAAGTTATTTTGATGCACATGTTATATAAGAAGCAGGAATTTTGAGAGGAATTAGTCTCTACTGTGCTGTCTTGTAAAATAAAAATGGAAACTCGGTGCTATTACTTGGGGTAGCCAGGAAGCTGTAAGTGGGTGTACTACTCAGATGTCTGCGTAGGTCAGGGGTCCTCAGACTTGGCCCTTTTATGACTTGTGGACTTCAACTCCCAGAATTCCTCAGCCAGCGTGCCTGGCTGAGGAATTCTGGGAGTTGAAATCCACAAGTCATAAAAGGGCCAAGTTTGAAGACCCCTGCTGTAGGTTATAACTGTAATCCCCTTCACTGGCTAGGAATCCTGGGAATTGTAGTATCAATACTTATGAAAATGTAAAGGTTTTGGCAGGCTGATTTAAATTTATTTGTTTTGGTTTTGGAGATTATGATACCTTTGAGATAATGACCTGTGCTGGTAACAGAAATGTCTATTAAGAATTCACAGATAGAGATAAATCAGAAAGAAATTAGAAAGATTAAAGAGTTTGTGACCGATTGCTAAAGAAGTATTTGGTAGAGATTAAAGAATCGAGTTTTAGTAGTGACAACATTTCTGGCATCAAGAATGTCACTAATATTGATGGATGTTGGGATGGAATGAAGTGAAGCAATTAACTTGGAGAATATTTAAAGTATGTTGGGCTGTAGAGTTTTGTTTGGTTTAGTTTTGCACACACCCTAGAGATTGGAGATACCTTGTGGGCAAGGTAGGGAAAAGGAAAGGTAGAAAAATGTAATTAGAAGCCTCTTTATCCAGCAGCAATTTTTTCCTCATTATTGTTTGCGCATGGAAACAAACTCGAAGGTTGCATTTACATGACACGTTGATCTTACTCCTGGAAGGAAGGCTTAATTCATGGATGGCCCATACTGAATTCATGCACATGGATGCAGACAGCAGAGAAATGAGAGCCTTATAAAATGGAGCTGTTCCACTTGAACTACCTCTAGATTTTTCTTATTATTACTATTTTCACAAATGCATCCACCCATAGATTGGTGGGAGTGGGGAAGTGACTGGCAGAAACAGGCTGGGGGGGGAATGTGCACCCCCACTTCTGGTGCTTTGACCCATTTAGGATGATACCATAACATTTTCCGGGACTGTGTTCAGAATGACTGGATTAGGATCAAATTAGGACAGTGCTGGCATTTCAGCTGATCTATTTGCTCTTTATCTGAGATAATCAAACTGTGCTTTGTCAGTTTTTGGCACATTTTTTTTTAAGCAAAGATATTTCATAACAGTGTATTTGGGAGAGCCTTTAAGCCAGGAGGAGGGCCCGACCTTGGTGACTTTAAGACTTGTGGACTGTTGGCAGGGGAATTCTGGGAGTTGAAGTCCACAGGTCTTAAAGTGGCCAAGGTTGGACACCTCTGCCTTAAAAAGCCCAACCTGATGAACAAGATCACATGTGTTGTCCATTCCTTATTGCTCTTTCACCAACTTCAGTTATTCCTACAGGATTGTGCATGTCATCTGAGCCAGATCAGCTACCATTTCCAGAATGGGAAATAAGAATAGATCTTACTTTTGAATGTGGCTTAGCAGACATTCAGAACTGACTGTTATTCTAAAACCAGCCTGCTTAATTTGATGGTGGTGGTGCTTAGTAAGCTATGCAAGGAGAGGGTTCAAAGGAAGATTTAAGAGAGCCATCTGTTGTGACCAGAGGGTGTCATCTATGTGAACTTGGAGTCCTCTTGGGTCAGTGTGATGTGACTCTTAACAGCTTCAAAATTAAACCTAGTCCAAAGTCAGCCAGTGAGCCATAATACTGCCTCTGAACGCTTCCTTCATCCTGCCTGTCTGCCTTTAAACGCTGAAAACCCTCTGACAAATATGTTGATCAGGCTGTAAAAAAACAGAATAAAACCAAAACAGAAACCATTCAGACGCATGATGATCAGGCAGTGAGATTGTAGGTGAGACGCCATGTGTTTTCACATAGAAAATAATCGTCTTTCTTCAATTTTTCCCCTATTCCACTCTGTAGTATGTATGCAATTACGGGTAGTCCTCGAATTAAGACCATAACTGAGCCCAACATTTCTGTTGCTAAGTGAGATATTTGTTAAGTCACACACACTGACTTCAGTTGGATGTGTTCTCACTAGCCCAGGGGTAGGCAACCTTGGCTCTTTTATGACTCGTGGACTTCAACTCCCAGAATTCCTGAGCCAGCGTGGCTCAGCTTGGAAACCTCTCCCTTTCCCCTCAGCATGGCTGGCTCAGGAATTCTGGGAGTTGAAGTCCACGAGTCATAAAAGAGCCAAGGTTGCCTATCCCTGCACTAGCCTAAGTTAAATCTGAATGGCCTCAAGTTTACTTGTGATCTTTCTTTCCTCCTCTCTCTTTAGCTTGTCACCTGCTGGTGTCTCTGGGACTTGGGAATCCTTCAATGAAAAACATTATTTGCAGCCTTCTGACTTTCTATCTTCTGAATGTCCCAAAATGTTGCATTTCTTGCTTTGTGAGGCTAAAGATTGCTTAGTGATTTTCCATCTGGACTCTTATAGTAATTTTTGAGATGGCTAAGGAGTTGTAATAATAATAATAATAATAATAATAATAATAATAATAATAATAATAATAATAATAATAATAATAATAATAATAATAATAATAATAAAAAGTTGGAAGGGATGTTGGAGGTCGTCTACTCTAGTCCAACCCCCTGCTCAGGCAGGAAACCCTATACCATTTTGGACAAATGGCTGTCCAGTCTCTTCTTAAAAACTTCCAGTGTTGGAGCATTCACCGCTTCTGGAGGCAGGTTGTTCCACTGGTTAATTGTCCTCACTGTCAGGAAGTTTCTCCTTAGTTCTAGGTTGCTTTTCTCCTTGATTAGTTTCCATCCGTTGCTTCTTGTCCTGCCTTCAGGAGCTTTGGAGAATAGCTTGACTGCCTCTTCTTTGGGGCAGCCCCTGAGATATTGGAAGGCTGCTATCCTGTCACCCATGGACCTTCTCTTCATTAAACTAGACATACCCAATTCCAGCAACCGTCTCAGGCCTTAGTGATTTTCCATCTGAACTCTTACAGTAATTTGTTGACAAGCTCTTTTTTTTTTAACCTTTGTCCTGTTGATTTGTGTGGTTCTGAACTTTTCCTGATTCACTTATTATATTTGACTAGATCTTGGGAAGGGTTGCTAGTGTGCACAGATAGCCCTCGACTTACGACCGCAAGCGAGCCCAACATTTCTGTTGCTAAGCGAGACCTTTGTGAAGGGAGTTTTGCCCCATTTTACGACCTTTCTTGTCACAGTTGTTAAAGTGAACCTTGCAGTTGTTAAGTTGTTAACAAAGCTGTAAAGTGAATCTGGCTTCCCTATTGCTCGTTAGAAAGTCACAAAAAGTGATCCTGTGACCTTGGGACCCGGCAACTGTCATAAATACGAGCCAGTTGCCAAGCATCTGAATTTCGATCATGTGACCAGGGGGACGCTCAACAGTCATTACTGTGAAAACCGGTCATAAGGCACCTTTTTCAGGGCTGTTGCAAGTTCAAATGGTCACTAAATGAACTGTTGTAAGTCGAGGACTACCTGTACAGGAATGGCCAATTACCTGAATCATTTGATTGCAGTTCATTTGCTTGAACATTCCCTTTAATTATATAATCAGGGTTATTTCGCCTTCCCTCGGGTCAGAAAGCCCATAACCGCATTTTAGAGCAGGGCTCTTCAAACTGGGCCCTTTTATGACTTGTGGACTTCAACTCCCAGAATTCCTCAGCCAGCGGGAGTTGAAGTCCACAAGTCATAAAAGGGCCCAGTTTGAAGACCCCTGTTTTAGAGGGTTCTGCCATCTAGCTTGAATTATATGGGATTAATTCCCTCTTGAATTACATTTCCTAAGATTTTCCAAAGGCTTTTTGAAGATATCTTTTTATGGAGATTTTATGAGTCAGAAGAACATTAGCTTTCAATGGCAGTATTTGATTTACTGATTACCTTAGGCTGTGGTAAGATTAGATAATATTTGTTACATTTATTATTATGTTGTCTTGCTTTCTATATTGTTCATGCAGAGTTGTGATTTCCAATGATTTGTCCTGAGCTTCAGTATAATCACAGACCAAATAACAATATTATGGTAGTACTAAATACAACTGAGGTGTTTTAAAATAATGGGTTGATGCCAGCAAGGGTTCTGATAACACCAAAGAATGTCATTGCTATATTGCTTTTAGATTTACTTATTTATTTACATCGCCATCTTTATTATATTTGTAAATAACTCAAGGCAGCGAACTGTAAGAATATCCCTATATTGTCGATATCATCGTTGCCTTTAAGGCATTGTTTGATAAGGCTACATTTCTAAGGAGTAAATTTAATGATAAACAGAAGAGAATGGAAGAAGATAGTGTATGTAATAGTTAAGAAATAGTTGTTGCTTTATATTGTTAAGAAAACTATAATAATGATGGTCCATTCAACTGAATGGGAAAGTGATATGCACATTAAGAAATTAGGTTCTTCAAAAGACTTGCATAATATTGTTTAAGAAATATTATAAATGGAATAAAATGCGAAGACAAAAGTGGTTTTGTTTTTAATTTTCCATACGTTTTTATATTTTTCAGGTAAAGTTCGGAAATACCACATTTAAGACAGATGTCTATCCCAAATCTCTCAATCCTCAGTGGAACTCAGAGTGGTTTAAATTTGAGGTAAATAGACAAATGCACACACAAACACACACAGAGACATACACACACACACACACACATACATCCTAATAAATAGAATTTATTGATAGGCTCAAAGGCAGAATTATTATGAAGCTGGCTCTCCATTTCTGGTGCTCCTTTCCTGGACCAAAAATGCACCATTGGGAAGAGACGTGTTTTGGGGAATGGGGGAAAATGAGAAAACGGGAGGGACAGCTGTCAAAGTGGCTAAGAAAAAATATGAAAAGAAAAGACTGGGAAGATGAGCTGGTAGGCTGGTTGAATATTGTCCTTGACTTCCAAAAAGCCCTGTCCCCCACCCTCGTCCTATCTGCCTAGGCCAGGGGTAGGCAACCTTGGCTCTTTTATGACTCATGGACTTCAACTCCCAGAATTCCTGAGCCAGCCATGCTGAGAGAGTTTCCAAGCTGAGCCATGCTAGCTCAGAAATTCTGGGAGTTGAAGTCCATGAGTCATAAAAGAGCCAAGGTTGCCTACCCCTGGCCTAGGCCCTTCGTACTCCCTCTTATCCTGCACTTAAAGTCAAGTGAAGGATGAGCATTTGAGAGTGGCTATGTGTCTATGGCGATTCTCAGTCATCCAGGTCATGGTTGTCCCAAAGGTGCTTTTTTCAAAAGGCAACTGGACTTTCTTAGATTTTCCTTGAAGACATTCCGCTTCTCATCCAAGAAGCTGCTTCAGTTCTGACTGGCAGTTCAATTTTGACAGTTCTGATAGTCAGAACTGAAGAAGCTTCTTGGATGAGAAACAAAACATCTTTTTTAAAAAAGCACTTTTGGGACAGAGGCTAAGGTGAAGTAGGGAAAGGAAGATTGTGGGGAAAGGTCAGTTGCAAACCTGCCGCCTGTCAACGCTGTGACAAACTGAACTGAAGCCATTTTTCATTTCAGTCTTCGTTGCCACATTTTAGTTTAGAGATTTTAGATGAAGGAGGGGGAGGGGGGAACGTTACGTTTCTCAGTGAGACATAACAATACTTCTGTGTGAGAATCAAGGTCAGTCCTGATAAGAGTTTTGGCACGGGAGGAGAGCCCGTGTTTTGAGGTAATTGGTGAATGTGATTTATGACAGCAATTTGGGGTGGGAATTGCAAACTTGTTACTTTGTAGCCTGAGGGAGGGGATTTTAGTCTTGGGTTCACCTTTGTATGTGCGGATATCTTGTCTCCTAAATAAAATGTTCCTTAAGGAAGAAATCCTTGGCTTGAAGTTCTTTTAAATGGTTTCATCTATCAGAAATATGACGCTGCCTCTGATGCCATTGGCTTTCAGTCTTCCCATTTCCTTTGGCTAGGCCAGGGGTAGGCAACCTTGGCTCTTTTATGACTTGTGGACTTCAACTCCCAGAATTCCTCAGCCAGCCATGCTGAGGGGAAAGGGAGAGCTTTCCATGCTTAGCCATGCTGGCTCAGGAATTCTGGGAGTTGAAGTCCACAAGTCATAAAAGAGCCAAGGTTGCCTACCCCTGGGCTAGGCTTTGCCTTTCCCTCCTTCCCTCCCCTTAGCTGGCACCATAATGGGAGGTAGAGAGAATGAAAAGCATTGAAAATTCAGAGGACACAGAGATCATGTAGAGACGGGGAGAGAGGAGTGAAGTGATGCCACCCTTGGCCAACTCATCTTCTCCACAGGGCTCCTCCAGATGTTGTCTGCCAAAATCTGGAAGAACCAGATGTTCTGTGGTTTGGTTTTACCAGATTGCACTCTGCCTGGAACTATTGGGCAGAGCCTCTGTGGTTGTTTGGGGTCTGAAACAAAACCGCTTTCTCTTGTTCATGCATACCTCTAAATTTTTTATATTTTAAATTGCCTGCTCTGTCAGGAAATATCACAGGCTTTGGTAAAGAAAAACCTTTAGGAAATGTAAGGAAGGTTAAAGAAAAATACATTTGTGAAGGAAAAGAAACAGGATGTGGAGGGAATATAAACGAGAGGAAATTTGTACTTATAAAAGGTTAACTTTTTATCTTTGAAAATCCTACCCAGATGCTTTTTTGTAGAAATTGTTATCTGGAAGAAAAACAGGCATGAGATAAAGTAGTTTGCAGTGATTTGGTTCATCAGTGATCCTGCCCATTGGGGAGGACTAGTGTTGCTCCCATACCTCAGAGGAGCAAAAGATTGTGGGGATATTAATTTAGAGTTTTGTGAAGAAACCTCGGGGTTAATCATATCCTTCCCCTAAACCTCCAGGTTTTCTGACATGATTGTAAGAAGCGATCGGATGCATTTGCTTCTGTTTTCAGTTCACCAGTAGTTTTTAGAGCTTTAAAAGCTCCTGTTTTGTACTGCAGTTAGACTGTGCAACAGCAATTAATGTAGAATGAGTAGGGATTTCAAGAGTATTCCAGTTTTATATTTCAGCTGCTTCTAATAGAAGGATCCTGTTTGAACCGAACATCAACCCACCGTTCAAGCTCTGTGCTTAAGTCAAAGCTATGTCTTAAGTGCAAGAAAATAGTTTGCATTAGAATTTACGCATGACCTTGTGACGTAGCCCCATTCAAACATGACTAATGACCAACAAGACTAATCACACTGTGGTTTCATGCAGTTAAACTGTGCATTTTATTAAGAAAGTAGAAAGCAGAGCTGGATGTTTCTTGTTTAGACAAATTATAACGTGAACTCAGCACCATTTTTCTTTATAATGGCTCGGTTTGATAAAACGCTGAAGCCTCGTTATTGTTCTGTTTTCTAGGTGGATGACGAAGATCTACAGGACGAGCCTCTGCAGATAACTGTCCTTGATCATGACACTTACAGCGCTAATGATGCTATTGGAAAAGTTTACATTGATATCGATCCTCTTCTCTACAGCGAAGCAGCTACGGTTATTTCTGGCTGGTTTCCAATTTATGACACAATACACGGTGAGACTTTCAGTGGTTATAAAATACAAGTGGTCCTCCATTTACAACCATAACAGAGTCTGCCCATTCAGGTCATAAGGCGGGAAGGTTGTAAAGTGGGCCGTCATGCAACCAACTTGATTTTATGACCTTTTTGCGGTGTTTATGAGTGAATCACCGTGGATGTTAAGCAGATCGGCAGTCATTAAGCAAATGCCTCGGTCATTAAGTGAAACGATTGTTTACTACGAAGTGTTTTTGCCAAAAAAGAAAAGTAAATGCTGGTTTTCTGCAAAAATGTGATAAATTGCGGTCACATGACTGAGACACTGCAGACAGGCATAAGTACTAGCCAGTTGCCATGTACCCAAAATGTAATCACGTAACCATGGAGGGGACAGCAGTCTGAATTCAGTACCGGATTGTAAATACCATTTGGGGGGTCCATCATAACTTCAAACAGTTGTTAAATTACTGGTCATAAATCAAGAACTACCTGTATTTTTATCAGACAAAACCTGTATGAGCATTGTGGGCAAAATTAGAAATGGGAGTGAGGTAGGGAGAGAAATATTTGTATAGTTCTTTGTATATAAAAAGACCTTTTTCTTTTAGTTCTTTTTTCTACCTGCTGCAGGAATTGTTCTTTTTAAATCTTGATTTTTTTTAAAAAAAGATTTTATTTATAATTGTCCTGCATGTTTCTTTTTGTAAAGACATCAATAGTTTTAGCAGAAGAAAAAAATAAATCTGGTAGCGTGAATGAGAATTCAGGCCAAAAATTGACTTAGGCCTCTTTCTTTTTCCAAAGACTTGTTTTTAAAAATGTATTTATGGATGCATCGTCTGTCAATTTCTCCGTGCAGTATCAGATCTAAGTTACGGTATGAGCTCAAATTCTTTCCAGGATTTGCAGGACAGAACATAAGGTCATTAAAGATGTTGTCCCCCAGCCACCTTCCTGACGGATTTATTGACTCCTTCTTATGTTTCATGACTCTGGAGTTCAAACACTGGTGAGCAAGCACAAAAAAAGAAGAAGGTTTAAATGACATTTAGGCTTGCCGTTAGGTCAAGGTTCTCCTGTAGCTTAGGCTTGCCGTTGGAGGGTTCTCCTGTAGCTATAATAAAATTCCTGCTGCACTCCCAGTTCTTCACTTAAGAGTGCCTTATATTTCTGGGATAATTTGTTTCCAAGAAGCTTTAATGCACCAAATGTTCGGCGTTTGTTTGTCTGTTTATTAAATTTGTAGGCCGCTCATCTCACTGTCAAGCACCTCTCGGCAGCTTACAATGTCATAAAATAACAGCATAAAACAATTAAAACATTGAAAACATTAAAAGTTAAAACAGTAAAATTAATAACAAACTGGAGGAAAAAGACCAAAACGTAAACAGAGTGGAGGTGGGATCTTCTCCTAATCTACTAACCACCTTCAGAATGGGACGTCCCCATCGGTGTCACAAGCCCAGCGGCAATTTTTCAGGTCCTTTTGATAGGCCAAGAGGATGGGGAGGACCCCACCTCAAGGGACATGATGTTCCAGAGGGTGGGAACCATGGTAGAACAGGCTCTTCTCCTGGACTCTGCCAGGCAAAATTCTTTGACAGGGTCCAGTTTTTTGGCAAAAGTGCCCCATAGCAAACAATAGCACTAGCACTTAGACTTATATACCCCTCCATAGTGCTTTACAGCCCTCTCTAAGTGGTTTACTGAGTCAGCATATTGCCTCAAACAATCTGGGTCCTCATTTTACCAACCTCAGAAGGATGGAAGGCCGAGTCAACCTTGAGCCGGTCAGAATCGAACTCCAGGCTGTGGGCAGAATTAACCTGCAATACTGCGGTTCTAACCACTGCGCCATCATGACAATAGGTTTGCTTAATGACTGCCACATTCTCTTAACAACCACCACAAAAAGGATCGTAAAAATTAGTTTAGTTACATAAGTGACCTGCTTTACCACTCTCGTAACGGTCACCCTCCATTATGGTCGTAAGCCGAGGACCACCTGCCTTATATTTTTAGAAGCTTATTTTTTTTCTGTTTGAAATTGTATCTGAATTGTGTTAAGAGTTTAGAATGATAAGGCTGCAAACAGGTAACTTGGATAGTCATTTTTTTGTGTGTGTTCTGACTTAAATTCTCACCCTGTTGCTTTTATTTTCACATCCAGGTATACGTGGGGAGATCAATGTGATGGTGAAGGTAGACCTTTTTAATGATTTAAACCGTTTTAGACAATCGTCATGTGGAGTAAAATTTTTCTGCAGTAAGTCGAAAAGCATGTTTTTTTGTATATGAAAAATGAAAGAACCGGTGAACCAATTCAGATCATTTAAGATTAAGAGTTGTGAATGTTCCAACACTGGAAGTTTTAAAGAAGAGACTGGACAACCATTTGTCTGAAATGGTATAGGGTTTCCTGCCTGAGCAGGGGGCTGGACTAGAAGATCTCCAAGGTCCCTTCCAATTCTATTACTACTACTGCTGCTGCTGCTATTATTATTATTATTATTACTATTACTATTACTATTATTATCTTTTATTCATTAGACATGAACCTCAGTCAACTGAACATTCAAATTGGCTGGCGCTGATGGTTGACACAGGTTGCTACCAGCATAAGATGTTCCGAGTAGCGTAGTTTTTTGTAGCATTGCTGGAGTTATTGCAGGAAGCTGCAGTTTCTTGATGTATTTTGCAAAGTTTTTGGAAGTAGATCCCAGTGCCCCGATGACAATGGGTATCACTGTTACACGTTTCATCCATAATCGCGCAGTTTCAATGGTCAGGTCGCGATATTTCGTAATTTATTCCAGTTCTTTTTCTTCCACTCTGGCATCTCCTGGTACAACGTATTATTATTATTATTATTATTATTATTATTATTATTATTATTATTATTATTATTATTATTATTATTATTATTATTATTATTAAGATTTCTTTAGGTGTTCCCCACCAGATTCCTCTGTTGCAGCATCTAATGCGTTCTTTGATAATTCTTATTAGTGCTCAATAACTTCCAGAATTGACTGGTTAGTGCAGGGTTTCACAATCTTGGCAATTTTAAAATGTGTGGACTTCCAAATCGCAGAATTCCCTAGCTGGCTTTAGGTTACTGGGTCCTCTCACTTGTTACAATTGTCTTTGTAGTGAGATTTACTTTTGATTCAACTTTTGTTCTCTGAAATCATCTTCCAATACTCTGCCTCAACTGCCTTCTGTTCCAAGCATCCTGTTTGGCAGAAGTACACAACTGTGCAACAATATAACAAAGTTTTCTGTTTAATATATTTATCTATCATTATTAATATATATTTATTGGGCATTTGGGGATCCCTTGAATCAAAATGACAGCATCTCCATAAATTATTTTCACTGGTTAAATATAAGTCATACTATATCTTCAACAGCTACGTCTATTCCGAAGTGCTATAAAGCCGTAATTATTCATGGATTTGTAGAAGAACTCGTAGTTAATGAAGATCCAGAATATCAGTGGATAGACCGAATCCGTACACCAAGAGCATCAAATGAAGCCAGGCAAAGACTTATTTCATTAATGTCAGGTAAATTTATTTATTTATTTTTAAAAAAAAATGGGCTGCAAGTAATAACCGTGTTGCATTATTGTGCATTTTAATGATTTGTTTGTATTATTTAATTTATACCTTGTAAACTAACGTGGCAAGTTATAGCTACTATATCCTAAACAGAAAGAGATAATATTTTGTTTGCATACTATATATTGTAGTAGGTATAATGGATGTTGTAAAGGCAATGAAATTGCTTTTACATTTGTAGCTAAGAATCTACCCAAACAGTAATTGGTAAGCATTTTACCTGTTAACATATAACTTAATCCAACAATAATTTACAAACAGATGGTGGTGATGTTGAGTTTGATCTGAAACTGTAGTTAAGGTTATAAAGCAGCCACGTAGTCTCTGGCATGTTGGAATTTCAAAGGTCCCTTTGTGTTGTTGAACTGTGTAAATGTACATTTCAGGATGATAAATTTAGGCACTGAATGTGTGGACAACTGAGCTCAGCCATTAATTTTATGGATTCTTTTTCATCCAGTTGGAAGCTAACCCAGCCCATCGTTCTAAGATAGGAATCATCGAGTTGATCTACTAGTTTGTTTATTTTAAAAATTTGTCCCGGAATTTTAGATGGCTAACCATGAGCTCAAATTGTAGCAATTTTTTTAAAAATTATGAATCGAAAAAAATGCATGTACAGTATCTGACCACCTAGAACAGGGGTGTCAAACTCAATTTCATGGAGGGCCGCATCAGCATTGCAGTTGCCCTTCGGGGGACTGGGGGTGTGTGGCCAGGGTGGGTGCAGCCTACTGGGTGGGCGTGGATGGAGTGGGTGTGGCCTACTGGGTGGGCGTGGCCAGCTCTACATTGTTCACTTCAAAGGGGCCTGTGGGGGGCCTGGGCAGGAGTGGGACAGATCTGAGGGTCTCTGGCAGAAGGGGGTGGGACCGGGGCAAGCGCCAAGGCATGGTCCACTGGAGGAGCCTCACTGTTCCTCTCAGGCCATGTGGGAGGGGGGCTGGATGGTGGTGCGGGCTGCCCGGAACCCTGGGCAGCAGAGGTCAAATGCCCAGCCTGGTCCTCGAGCACCCTTGGCACCAAGCCCAGCGCCACTTCCCCAAGGGGGCGCCCAGCTGCACTTACCTCCTCCTCAAGGCTGCCGCTGCTGTGCTTGCTCTCCTTAGCCAGGTTGTTCATGATGGGTACCAGGGCAAAGTCAGAGGGAGACTGAATGCGTTTCAGCATAGATGGCCACCACAAAATTGTACATTGGCTCCCGGCGGGCCGGCCTGGGCCAGGGCCAAGGCAGCGGGGGCCATTCCCTCACTGTTTCCAGGATGGCTTCGCGGGCCACATGAAACCACTTCGCGGGCCGCATCCGGCTCCCGGGCCTTGTGTTTGACATGTCTGACCTAGAAGTAGTACACAAATAAAAAAAAAATATATATGAAAATACCACAAAGTAAATTACATTGAGTTAAAGCAGTGGATACAAAAGCATATACATAAAGGGGGGAAAAAATAAGTGTTTCCACAGAAAAGACCTGGGTGAACTTAAGATGACAAATAGGTACTTTAAAAAAAATGTAACAGTAGATGCCTCTGAAAAGTAGTGAGAACATTCCTGAAAGTAGGTGCTTTCCGCTTGGAAAAACTCCTTGTGTGAATATCTGGGGGGGGGGGACCTGGCAAAGGGGGGGAAATCGCCAGTATTCCTAGCCTGAAGTTACCTTGAACCATCTATGACAGGGGTCTTCAAACTTGGCCCTTTATGACTTGTGGACTGGGAGCCAATGTACAATTTTGTGGTGGCCATCTATGCTGAAACGCATTCAGTCTCCCTCTGACTTTGCCCTGGTACCCATCATGAACAACTTGGCTAAGGAATTGAAGTCCACAAGTCATAAAAGGACCAAGTTTGAAGACCCCTGATCTGTGACAAAAGTAGAAGCTTGAATCTGGCTTAATAATTACCAGCCGTGCAATGGCTTCATCACTGGTAAAATATGTAAAATGGCTGCTGCCCCATTTTGCGGCTTGGTCCACTGCATTCTGCAGCTGCTGCAGTTTCCAAGCTAAAGGAACTTTTGACCTTTGGAAAAAAGAAATATAGCAAGCTGACAGTCTGAGTAATCCCTATTTTTATAATTCCTTAGAAAAGTGTGAGGAAACTGTTTTTAATTTCCTAGAATCCTATTGTTGGGAGAGTCCATACAGTAGAGTTAATCTAGACCAATCTCCTGCTCAGTGCAGGATTTGTGAAGCATTTTGGCCTCCGGTGAATAGTAAACGTCACTTCACTGGTTGAGACTCCTTTTCTTCAGGGAATTTTTTTTGGGGGGGGTATCTTAATTTTTATTTTATTTTACTAGGTTTTTAACCTGCCTTCATTACTTATAACTAACTCAAGGCATTGGACATACATAATACTCTTTTCTGCTCCTATTTTCCCCATAACAACCCTGTGAGATGGGTTGGACTGAGAGAAAAGAACTGGCCCAAAGTCACCCAGCTGGCCTTCGTGCCTAACGCGGGAGTAGAACTCCCAATCTCCTGGTGATTGGCCCAAAGTCACCCAGCCAGCTTTCGTGCCTAAGGCGGGACTAGAACTCCCAGTCTCCTGGTGATTGGCCCAAAGTCATCCAGCCAGCTTTCGTGCCTAAGGCAGGACTAGAACTCCCAGTCTCCTGGTGATTGGCCCAAAGTCATCCAGCCAGCTTTCGTGCCTAAGGAGGGACTAGAATTCCCAGTCTCCTGGTGATTGGACCAAAGTCACCCAGCCAGCTTTCCTATCTAAGGCGGGACTAGAACTCCCAGTCTCCTGGTGATTGGCCCAAAGTCACCCAGCCAGCTTTCATGCCTAAGGCGGGACTAGAACTCCCAGTCTCCTGGGTTTTAGGCTTTAACCACTACATTAAACTCGCCTAACCTCTAGTACAATTTAGTACAATATTGGGAAAATTGAAGTTTGTTTTATCAGTGTTCAAAATTATTTTACATTAATTCTGCATTAAACGATGTGTATTTTTTTGACAGGGGAACTGCAAAGGAAGATTGGCCTGAAGGTCCTTGAAATGAGAGGCAATGCAGTGGTTGGCTACTTGCAGTGTTTTGATCTGGAGGGAGAATCTGGCCTAGTAGTGCGAGCCATTGGGACAGCCTGTACCTTGGACAAATTAAGTAACACACCTGTATTCTTACCTGCATGTAATTCCCCATCCAAGGACATAAAGGAGTAAGTATGAATTAAATGTTCCCTGGAAAGTTTCTTTTGTGTGTTCATTTCAAACTCATTGCCTATTTTTGTTGGTTTGTTTTGATTGAATATACACACCCCTGTTTCCCTTTTATGTTGACAACCTGTTTTGTGTTGAGAAACCTGGGTAATTAAAGCAACCCCTTTGACCAGAAGTTGTAGGAATAGTGTGGTATGTCAGATGCCTCAACTACACGCAATTCCTGCAGTGTTGGACAGCATGATGGGGATGACATTAACCTGTTCTACATTCCAGAGTGCTTTCTCTTCTTAATGAGCAATTGAAATTAAATTGCTTCAGGGGGATCTTTGCATTTTGCAATGTATTTTGCAAAATAAAATCCCACAGGACCTCTGTTTTGAGCTATTTTTATTCTGAATGCCATTGTTTTACGTGGACTTAAGAGGAAGAAATCTTCAGTGTAATTCTAAGCCAGTATGTCATAACTGAGTGCTATCAGGTTTTTACAACTGTCTGCAATGCTTCCCTCTCTCTTATTTAGAACAAATTAAGTCTTGCTGCCCTTTCACTTAGTCAGTAGGCAATTGGCCAACTCTTGAGTTTTGCAGAAGTTGATGGAGTTCATCTTTTAGAATGAGCCAGAGAAATAGAAATAGCAGTGTGCCAATCTGAAACTACTTGGTTTGGGAAAGCTAAGTGCCAATGAGAATATATTACTTTATGTCTTGCAATTATATGGCCCTTTTTATTGAAATCTAAACAGGAAATAATGGCTACAAAGCAAAGTGAGATTATCTCAGTCATGCTTACTGAAATGTTCAAATTATGTAATTTAACGTATTGGCAGATGCCTCTCTTTAAGTGATTTTTTTTTCTTTTGGTCCAAGTGGGCAACCAGATAAGTGTGAGACTTTTATTTTAACTTTTATTTAAAGTATACCATGACCTTGTTGCTTTTTATAATAGCACTTTTCACTTTGCATACTTAGACATTTTACATTGATCAGAAATAAAGTTAAGTTGGTCCAGTTCATTTCTTTGAATTCAGATTTCAAAAATTATTGGGGGCTTATTTTTTAGCTTTCCAGCTAAACATTTAGCAGAATTATAATTATATGTTAACCAAGTAATGCTTAGCTGTTTTTCTTTGTCTCAATTATTAGAGCACGGGTGTAAAACTCAAAATGAATCAACAAGTGCACTGTATTCCTCTGTATAGATTCTGGAAAACTTTGTATATCTTCTATTTTTTAAAAAAATCAATTAAGTTTCACTTTGTTAAATATCAATCTCCCCAATTCCTCTTCTTGATATAAAGCATTGAGGAGGAAGAGGAAGGTCATGTGTGATTATCTAATAATGTCTTTCTTCGTCTTCTCCATGTGATGATAATTAACTAATTGGATGCTTAAGCGTTAAGCCAGGGGTCTTCAAACTTGGCCCTTTTATGACTTGTGGACTTCAACTCCCAGAATTCCTCAGCCAGCATGCCTGGCTGAGGAATTCTGGGAGTTGAAGTCCACAAGTCATAAAAGGGCCAAGTTTGAAGATCCCTGTGTTAAGCTAACTAAATTGGCAAGCTGGAGCCATTGCATCAGTAGATTGAATTTTTAGGAAACTTCCCAATTTCCCATTCAGCCCCTGATTGAAATTGGTGGAACTTGGTTGAACCCTGGTGGCGCAGTGGTTAGAATGCAGTATTGCGGGCTAACTCTGCTCACAGCCTGGAGTTCGATCTTGATGGGGCTCGAGGTTGACTCAGCCTTCCATCCTTCTGAGGTCGGTAAAATGAAGACCCAGATTGTTGGGGGCGATAGGCTGACTCTGTAAACCGCTTAGAGAGGGCTGTAAATCACTGTGAAGCGGTATATAAGTCTAAGTGCTCTTGCTCTCGCTAGTAAATCTATGGGCCACATTGGGAATCCCCGCAGACCTTACGTTGGACACCCCTGCTTTAGCGTTTGCTCTTCACCCACAAGCAAACCGCAACTGCAACCTTCCAGTAACTAGAACAGGGGTCCCCAACCTTGGCAACTTTAAGACCTGTGGACTTCAACTCCCAGAATTCCCCAGCCAGCATGGCTGGCTGGGGAATTCTAGGACTTGAAGCCCGCAGGTCTTAAAGTTGCCAAGGTTGGGGACCCCTGAACTAGAACACCCTAGAATAAATTTTTTTTAAAAAAAAAAATGTAACTTTGCCATTTTTTTTTTGTATGTATTTTTTTTCCACCCCTTTCCTTCGATCTCGGCTGCAAATTCTCTCTCAGGTCTCTGCTGGCTCATCCTCCCAACCATGGATGTCGTTCGACTCACAACAGTCCAATTCACACTGCTACTGGCTCACGGCTTACTCAGAACTTCTCTGTGTCTGTTCCCACTCTCATCTACACTGGTACGCGGACTGCTCAGATTCAGAAGCTGGGGAGAGACAGGCGGCAGGCACAATGACAGGCAGGCAGGCAGGCAGTGTAGGCAGGTACCTGCATCTCTCAGCGTTTTTCTCCTCCAGATAAGTCCTTTGTATTCACCTGCTAAGTCAGAGGAAACAGGAGACCTCAAGGATAATCTTCTGATCTCTTTTTTTTTTTGCTTTATTGTGCATACCTGTTTTCTTTTTTCCTTTCCAATAATGATGTTTACATCTCAGGTGTCTCTCTCGTAGTAGGGGGAGAAATATACATTTTGATCGGGCTTCAGGCTTGATCACGATGTTCTCAAAAAAAGGTTTCTGTGCCAGATGTCTTAAACTGGACCGACAGGTAAGGCCTTGCTACAGGTAGCAGCGCTTGTGAGTACCAACGTCTGGGTACGATTCTCCTCTTTCCGCTTTGTTTTTAGCTGTGGCAACCTGCAAGTGCTAACGGATAAGGAAACATATTTTTTTTTAATTTCCTGGAAATATATATACGCGTCTTTATATATATATATATAAAAATATATAAAATATTTGTCTTGTGTGTACGTCAGGGCACAGATTATATAATCTGCAACATCGCTTTGTTTTCTTTTGTAACGATCCGGTTCAAAAAAAAACATACCGTATTCTGGCAGCCATGGTTTTTGATGGGTTTTTATGTTCTCGTTTACTTTCCCGCTTTTCGATGCTTTATGCTTTTAGCTGTGGTTTTTGTTTTGCTGGTCAATAATGCCCATTTGCCTCCAGGACGTTGTGCGGTGAACAACCTTGTCCGATGCCTGTGGGCATCGGTAATCTAGCTTCCCACCTTAAGTGAATCATTGGCCCTATCCCCTCCTCACTCCCTGTCCACATCCTGGTTTTGGGATCATCCGCCCGGTCCTTTGATGTAGGATCACTGAATCTGTTTCCACCTTCTTCTGGCAGGATTCCTTTCAATGAAGACCCCAACCCCAATCCTCATTCATCAGGACCCTCCACCCCTCTGAAAAACCAAATCTATTCCTTTTCACCTTCCAAGTCCTACAGTCGACAGTCCTCCTCTTCTGACACCGATTTGAGTTTGACACCCAAAACGGGTAAGGTGCTTCCACCCACGTTATTTTAATTTGTTTGTGATTTGTTTTGCTGAATTTGTGTTGTTTCTATTTTAGCTTCTCACTCACGGCCTTTCTCTGTTTTGGGCATCTAGTAGCTATTTGCATAACTCTTTTGAATTGTTTATTGAATTATGTGGCATCTGGATATCTTCTGCAAGCTGACATATACTGTAAGCCCATACACTTAAGATTATCCTAAGGAGTTGTCTTTTCATTTCCTCCACATCATATTGTAAATTATGGGGACTAAAAGTAACCGTAATATGTTTGGGAGATAGTTTGGGAGTGTCTTTCTGAAAATGTGCAAATAGGTATAGCAATTTAAAGCTTTTCTTGTATCTGCACATCTTTGCAATCAACCGAATAAGGGCTGGTTGACTGTCTCTTGAGCTGCTTTCAAGACGACAATAAGATATCTTTCATGTTAGAACAATCTTCAGTTTTCTAAATCTTGATTTAGAAAATGAAATTCCACATTACCTTTTTTACCATTGTCAAAACGTAACTTAAGATATGACAAACCCAGAGAGTCCTCAACGTACAACCACAATTGAACCCCAAATTTCCATTGCTGGGCAAGATAGAGGTTAAGTGAGTTTTGCCCCATTTTACGACCTTTCTTGCCACGCTTGTTAAGTAAGGCACTGCAGTTGATAAGTGAGCAACACGGTTGTTAAGTGAATCTGAATTGCCCCATTGACTTCGCTTCGCAAAAGGAGATCACATGACCCCGGGACACTGCAGCTGTCATAAATGCGAGTTGCCAAGCGTCTGAATTTTGATCATGTGACCATGGGGAGGCTGCAACGGTTGTAAGTGTGAAAAACAATCATAAGACACTTTTTTCAGTGCCGTTGAAACTTTAAATGGTCACCAAACGGTTGTAAGTAGAGGATTACCTGTATATGTGGAGTGTATGCATATCATATCAGAAACAGAACAGAGCAGAAAAGCCTCCGTCTTTTCATGTGGTTGCTTCGCTCTGCCTACAAAACACAGTGATTCTCAAGCTATTAGCCAGAATTCCCAGGAGTGGCACCGAGACTTAATAAAAAGCCACAATAAACTATTGTTTCTCACTTCTAACGACAACTCTGAAATGAGAAACAAGTGGCTGTGAGAAGAGGCCAGATGAAATAACAAGGTTTGTTTATAGTTCATCTTGTTAAGCTGAGATTTGGGTTCACTAAAAACGTGAACCTCCCATTCTCTGCACGTATGTCTGTTTGTACTCCAAACGAGAAACATGGCAAGGAATTTTTAACAATATGGCTTCACACATTTATAATACTGAAACATCACGGCTTTAACAGAATATAAGTAAACTCGACTCATAATCTGCACACCCTTGGGTGGGCAAAAAAAAACCCTCTATGCTTTTGCTTTCTTAAGATTAGGAAGGATAATACAGGTAGTTCTCGACTTACAGCCACAATTGGCATCAGAACACCGGCCAGTATGGTCTACTTCAAGTTTGTTGAATCCACAGCTCTGAAAATAATTCCATGAGCCCAAGACAACTTTAGGCAAGAAGCACCCTCATATTGCACCGTTAAATTAAAAAGGAATTTGAAATTATCTCGAGTGCTATTTTGAAATACTTCCAAGGATCCCTGGAAGTAGATAGGAAATGCCAAAGCTCTGTAAATTATGTCTAGTATAGAACATAGAATAATAGGGTTGGAAAGGACCTTGGAGATCTTCTAGTCCAACCCCCTACTCAAGCAGGAGACCCTATACCATTCCGGATAAATGGCTGTCCAGTCTCTTCTTGAAAGCTTCCAGTGATGGAGCACCCACAACATCTGGAGGCAAGTTGTTCCACTGATTAATTGTTCTAACTGTCAGGAATTTTCTCCTTAGTTTTAGGTTGGTTCTCTCTTTAATTATCTTCTACCCATTACTACTTGTTCTGCCCTCAGGAGCTGTAAAATAAGTCAGATTCACTGCTAGTAATAATGCATATAATAGATGGGAAATTTAGCTTTAGTGTTATATGTTAAGTTTTTCAGTTATGGAAGCTCGGAGTCTTAAAAACGAGACTTGTGCTTTATTTACTAAATTAACAATCTAATACAGAGATTGACTATTTTCTGAATGAAGATTTTGGTGCTTACCCAAAGTATATATACATATATATGTGGAGGAAACTGAAAAGAAGGGAACAAGGTGATTTTGTCTCTTTTATTTAAAAATAAAAAGTAAAATGCAAAGTATCTTTTTTAAAACTGAAGACTTTCAAAGCGAGCTGCTCCCATCTCCATCAGAAAAAGTGCAAAATCGTTCCGAAAAGGGGAAATTTATTTATTTGTTGTTTATCGAATTTCCACACCATTCATCTCACCTCGGTAACTTATGTACTTTTTTTTTTTTGTTTAACTCTCAAGGAAAATGGGTATTTTTCCTGTAAAACCCATTCGGTGTGGAACAAGCTTTTTTTTTAAAAAAAAAAATTAAAGCACACTTTCACGACTTTAAAAATGGAGAAACAATAGATGAAGTTGTCTTGTTGAATGTGCCCCTTCATCGTGTTGCATTTCGTCATCCTGTGAATTGTAAATCTGTAACGGTTCATAATGCTGCTCGTTGTTTGTTCTCTCTCTCTCTTTTTTTTTTTTACAAACCTGGTTTTGCTTGAGTCATTTTGCTTTTTCTTTCTTTTCTCCTTGATTTCTTTTTCTTTTTCTTTTCTTTCTTTTTTGTCATTTTCTGAAATCTACCATCTCTTTACTGCTTTTCTCCGCAGCACTTCCCCTGTGGGGACCCAAGATTTGCCTGCTTCCCAGTTCCCCAACCTTATCTTGTCGTTCCCCACCACTTACAAAGCCCCGTCTTCTCTGCTCCGAATCTAGCTCTATCCCTCTTCACCCTAGCCCAGTTCTCAGGAAAAGTATTTCTTTCACTGAAGAGCTACTTCTGGCTGCTTCCGGTAGGATTACTCATCAATCGCCTTGATGGTTTGGGTCGTGGCACCAAGCACAGTCTGAAAGCTTCTTATGATTTCTTTCTTTTTTTTTCCCCCTAGACCAGGGGTAGGCAACCTTGGCTCTTTTATGACTCGTGGACTTCAACTCCCAGAATTCCTGAGCCAGCATGGCTCAGCTTGTAAACCTCTCCCTTTCCCCTCAGCATGGCTGCCTCAGGAATTCTGGGAGTTGAAGTCCACGAGTCACAAAAGAGCCAAGGTGGCCTACCCCTGCCCTAGATCCGTTTTAAAATCCCAAAACTGCTGGCTACATGACGTTGATGTAATTACTCTTGCCAGGATTGATTTTCCAGTCCCTTCCTTTCCCCCGCCCCCCAAAACTTTATCACTATTGGGGTTTTTAAAAAAATCATTTTTATCATGCCTTTTTAACATTCTTTTCCCCTCCCAAAACTTTATGAGATAGATAATTGGTCTTTATTTCCTTAAAAAAAAAAAAAAGAATTGTGGTACAGGCAGTCCTCGCCTTACGAGACCAAAATTTCCGTGGCTAAGCAAGACGGTTTCTAAGCGAATTTTTTTCCCCATTGCACAATCTTTCTCGCCACCATTGCTAAGGGAATCGCTGCAGTTGTTAAGTTAGGAGAGGGGTAGGCAGCCTTGGCTCTTTCATGACTCGTGGACTTCAACTCCCAGAATTCCTGAGCCAGCCATGCTGAGGGGAAACCTCTCCCTTTCCCCTCAGCATGGCTGGCTCAGGAATTCTGGGAGTTGAAGTCCACGAGTCATAAAAGAGCCAAGGCTGCCTACCCCTGAGTTAGAAACATAATTGTTAAGTGAATCTGGCTTCCCCATTGGCTTTGTTCGTGAGAAGGTCACAAATGGTGATCACGTGACCATGACACATGTGACATACATGTCCAGGATAAGTGAAGTAAATGTAAATACGAACCAGTGGCCAAGCATCAAAATTTTGATCATGTGACCATGGGGATGCTGCTGCACCGGTTTTAAGTGTGCAAAATGGCCAGAAGTCGCTTTTTTCCCCAGTGCTGTGGTAACTTCGAACGGTCACTAAACGAATGCTTGTAAACCGAGGACTACCTGTATAGCCGTCCCATTTCCGGCCATGTTTCAATGCTCCTCTGTTTTGAATGGGAGGAACATTCTTCTTTTTCTCCTTTGTCTTCTTCAAGTCATTCATATTACTCTGTGGACCATCATGTGGCCATCAGTCCTGCTTTTTTTTTTTTTTTTTTTTTTGTATCTGCAATTTAAATGCCCTTCTAAATGTTCCCGGTATAAATGTCAGTTTTGCCTGTCCTTTCACAAGGCTGTTTCAGCAAATGTGAACTTGGTTGATGCTGTGGGGCAACAGAGTTTGGGTTGTTCTCTTCCTGCCCGTGAAGTATGTTTCATTTCTACAACAGCCTTCATTCCATTTCTGTCTCTGCTCTTAGTATCGTATAGTCCCCTTGTCAGGCAGATTTGACCGCGAAAAGAAAAAGAAAGAACACTGTGATTGCCTGCACCATGCAGAATGGGACTATATGGATGCTAATATTTGTTTCCTTATCCAAAAACAGCTAAAAATGGAGGTTTTAATAGGACAGGCATGACCAGGGATCTGTAAACTTAAATTTAATCGTGCAATTGAGCAGATTTGATTAAGAGCCTATTTCTCAAGCAATCTTAGATGGTGTAAATTAGTATCCATTTATGTTCTCACTGTGTTTGTCCATATTCTTCCTTTTTTCACACAAGCTGCAGGATGAATAGTTTTAACACAATGTCCAATCCTGGAGTTTTGTTGTTTCTATCCAGAGAAATGAGAATTTTTAAGCCACCTCTCCCCTCCCCAAGTTTAAAATTAGCTTTCATTCTGGTTCGTGTAAGCATATAAAATTGTGCTCCTGGACTTAACCAACATGCTAAGGTATCTCCCTATTAATTAGTTTGCTGATGGTTTGATAAGAGAAATTAGAATTCTCTCCTTATTAGTTGTAATTGTAGACATTGGGTCTGATCAGGAATGCATTTAGCTCAGTATTATCAAGGCTGAATATCACTGGATGTTTGGCATTTATGGCAATTGGAGATACCAAAGGCTGATACTTGGAACTTTGAATTTAAATTATATCTTTATGACTTAGATACAACCTTTTCTAAATAAATTTAATGGAATTACTCTGTAAACACTGATGTGAAATGCTCATCCTTTCGGCCTTGAAAATACATTATTTTCCTTTATATGATTACACTCTTTTTCTAATAGCTGTGTGGGCTCCTTAAATTACCATAGAGTACCAAGTTTTAGTCCCTTGCTATGTCAAAATGTTGCTAGAAGTCAAAAAAGACTTGATGGCATATAATCATGTGAAAATCTATATATCTCAGACTGCAGTCTAGTAATGCCATCTTTAAATACTCTGAAATATTTTAACTTCTGAATTCTGTTTGGGTTTTTTAAAAAGTTCAAATAGGGCTGAGGGGCATAATCTTTAGCCAATGGCTTACTAAAGTTTACATCTAGCATGATCATGGTTAATAGCTTTTGCGCATAAATCATAGGCTATGTGCACACTAATTACAGTTAAAAATTATAGCCTGTTAAATGAGGCTTATCTTTTTCCTACTACATATATCTTTTCATAAATTAATTGCTACACAACTTTGGCTTTTTGACCATCTCAGGTTAGACTTTCACAGGGTTGTCCACATTTGCTAGTCATCAAACATGTGCCATATTTTTAATATGACTTTGATGTAATGTCTGTTAATTGTTTGATTTCACTTTGACTTACGTGCTGATGTTCTTTAGGAATGGGAAGTGGTAGTGCTGGAAAAGAAGGGGGGCCTTTAAAAGCTCTGTTAAGACAACAAACTCAGTCAGCTCTGGAGCAAAGGGTAAGAAATTCATTAAATCCTGTTATATATTTGATGTATACCAGTATAGTTCGTGTCCAACAATGGGATTAACTTCTCGGAAAATCTGTGTAGTATTTCAGCCTAGAGTTATCACCTTAGAAACATTCCTGTATTTTCCTATTGCTGTATAGGAAAACAGCATACTTTGTTATTAAATGATTATCTTTCTGCAGCAATTGTGAATTATATAGGCTGTCATCTTTATTTGGACAGAGGAATTAAATGCATATGCCTATAAAGAAGAGATTTACACCGTGAAGATTTTCACAAAGGTCATAAGGTTTTCACTGGTCTTTTTGCTGATGACATAAAGGTGTGTAATCAAGCTGACACTCCTGGGGCTATTTGTAACATGGAAAACGATTTGGCTTCGTTGGAAAATTGGTAAAAAAAAAAAATGGTAACAGCCGTTCAATGTTTCTAAATGTAAGATTGTGCACTTAGAAAAAAAGGAATCTTCTGGCAGGAGACAATACTGGAGGTACAGCATTAGACAAAAGAGCGGAAGAAAAGGATTTATAGCAGATGACTGCAAAATGAGTAAACGCTGTGGCCAGGCAGCTGCAGAGGCAAACAAAATTCTGGGATGCATCACTAGAGGGATCACCAGCAAGAAAAAGGAGGTCTTAATCCCACTATATAGGGCAGTGGTGGCGAACCTATGGCACGGGTGCCAGAGGCGGCACTCAGAGCCCTCTCTGTGGGCACGCATGCCATCACCACAGCCCCCCCCATGGCCCCCTCACCAGCAGTCCCCTTGGAGGAGAATCACCCTGGGTGCAGCCTGCGCAGAGCAACGCAGCCAAGGACATGGCAGCCGGGTAGCAGGGACAAGACTCCGCCCTCGCGCCCCATCGCTTACAGATGATGCTGTGGGGCACGGAAAGAGGGCGTGGCCACCATGATGCTGCTGGGCCGCCTGGGCGATCTGCTGTGGCGGGCCGTGGAGGTGGGTGGCCCTGCGGGCAGGAGAGGCGGGGGCGGGGCAGGAGTGAGGCGGTTTTTGGGCACTCGGTCTCTAAAAAGTTCGCCATCACTGATACAGGGCTTTAGTCAGACCCTATATAGAGTGTGGTGGCTCAAATGGTTAGGACTCTGGGTTGGAGGTTAGCAAGCCCACGTTTGAGACCTGAGTGCTACTGCGGGGCAGGGTGAGCTCCCGTCACTCGCTCCAGCTCCTTGACGGACTGATGAAAGGAGCCCCCATGGGTGTAACCCAGGCAACAGTGATATCCTTTCAACCCGGAAGCACCTTAAATGGTTCCTCCGACATGAACGGGATGAGGTCAGACCCCATTTGGAATACTGTGTCCAGTTCTCACTTAAAAAAAGATATTGATAAGACTCAGCGAGTCCAGAGACGGGCACAAGAGTGGTGGAAGGGTTAGGGTCTGACGGACAAAATATATCAGGAGAGATTGGATGCACTGAATATGTCCAGCTTGGAGGACAGAAGGGAAAGGAGGGACATGATTGAAACCTTTCAATATATTAAGAGTATGAATAAGGTTCTAGAACAGAGGTAGGAAACCTTGGCTCTTTTATGACTCGTGGACTTCAACTCCCAGAATTCCTGACCCAGCCATGCTGGCTCAGGAATTCTGGGAGTTGAAGTCCACAAGTCATAAAAGAGCCAAGTTTGCCTACCCCTGTTCTAGAACATAGTATTTTCAATATTAAGCAAAAATCAAGTATCCAGGGGCATAACCTGAAACTGACAGGGAAGTTCAAATGTAATGTTAGAAAGTATTATTTTACAGAAAGAGTAGTAGACGCTAGGAACCAGCTTCCTGTGGAGATAGTGGGTCAATCATCAGTTTAAACTGAGTTTAAACGTGCTTAGGATAAACCAATGTCTATCATCTAACCAAAATAAAAAATAAAAAAAAACTTCGAAGGGCAGACTAGATGGACCTCTAGCTCGTTTTCTGCCATCTGCTTCCTATGTTTCTATAAACTTGAATGCATAAATATATGCAATTTTTTTCTCATCAGCCTATCTTTCTCATAATTCCTATTTTAGTCAACTTTGAGCTTAAAACAAAAAATAATAATTCTCCTTTATGTGAGGAATTGTAATCTAAAGACACAAGCTACCTTCCTCATATCCTACACGCACACTTTAATTTTATATCTTTAAATGTTTAATTCTGATGATTAGAGCTGAAAACCACATTGTGAATAAGGACCTCACTTTCACTGGGTGAATTTCAAGCCTCTTGTAGCAGTGAAATTGTACTTGAGTGAAGAGGGTTCTGCCAAACATGTTTTTATGTCACGTCCCATTAAAATGTGGATTAATTCGAAATGAATAGCAGTAGCATTGTATCAGTGGATAATTTTCTCCCCATTTTTGTGTTACCTATTGCTAAGGGAGGATCGCCTCATAAATTCTGTAGAAGGCGGGTATGTTCCAATTGTTGTGTGACACTTCACCTCTTTCTCTTTGTGTTCATATTTATTTTGAGACTCGTTTTTCTACCTTAGAGCTTTTATTTGAGGGATTTGGAGCCAGTTATTATTTTCTCCACATTCCTTTTGGAATTGTTCCTAGGCAGAAAAATGAGAAAGCTGTCCAGAACTTTTAAATAGTCCAGTTTGAGTTCGGCATGACTGTACATTTCATGTAACGTATCATTTTTTTATTGATTTGATTTTGTAATATTTAATTTGAATGCTAACAACGGAAAAAAAGTGTTGACTTGGTTGACTTTGCTGCTTATCCTAATAATTTATATATTTTGTGGATAATGGGTTTAGTCTTTTAGTTGATATGCAGTAAATGTTTTCATTCTTTACAAATGTTGACTTTGCAGTCGCAGTAGTTAAATGTACATTTTTTGTAAGTCACAGCCATACAGTTTTATAAGAGATCTTTAAATGATTTTGCCTTTAAAATGACGTATTGAAAGCTTCTTCACAAATGACATGCATAGAGAATATGCATGATGCATGTTCAGATTAGCTTCATATTGGAAATATGATTTTTTTATTTGCTTCTGCTTTCCCCCCTATCAAATCAAGTCCTTTTTTGGCATTTATAGTGTAACGTGTCCAATAGTGACTCAATGGTCCTCCATGGGAAATATTAATAGTATAATAGCTATCCTGAAATATAACATTATTTAACCACTGTATCCTAAAGAAACTCCACAGGTGCTACTAGGTATTTGTAAACTTTCCTACTGCTTATGTGCATAATTTGTACGCTGCGATAGCGTTTCACAAAAATTGGCCAGGGATATCTTGAATTAAGATATTAAAGCACGGAAGTAATCCATTTGATGCTTTTCATTAGGTACGTTCTTCACATAAAAATATTTTTAATCTTCTTGGTCTAATAAGATTTTATGAAAATAGGTCATGGATTTGCATATTAGTTACTCTACGTAAATAGAAATAAATTCAGCAGGGTCAAGGCAGTGTAGCCAATTTGGCAGTTGGTATTTACCTAAAATGACCCATGAACTAAACGATGCAGATGTCAAATTCAAGAGAGTCCATGTTTATCCAGTGCTAATACAGTGAAACCTTGCTTAAACAGAATCTCAGTTATTCACTAACATCTCTTAAACACAAAAATAAATCGTCTTAGTAATTTTGCCATTTGCGTGATAATTTCATCTTGCAAATGACATTATGTAAAACCTCTGTATAAATCTGGTCTATCCATTGTATTAAGATCTGGAAAATGGAGAAAATTTCACTGTATATGGTTTCCTTTTATACTGTCTCTAGGAAGCAAGTATTTCTAAATCAAGGTTAAGTTGCTGTTAGCTTTGAATTTGGGTGAGGTCACTCAATTCCACAACATCCATGTCCAGCTTACAATTAATTTTTTTCAAAATGTAAAAGATAACAGAAATATCAAAATAAAAGTATGCAGGTTACTGGAAGTCAAGACCAAAAGACACCATAGGAGCTCAACTGCCATGTACGCCCAAGGCCTGGGAGAACAATCACGTCTTTAATCATTTGTAGAAAGTCAGTAGGGTAGGAACCATACAGATCACTGCAAAGGTATCATTCCACAGAGCAGGAGTGATCTCCCAAGAAATTACGCTTTCTGGATCCTGTGAGAGGCACTACAACAGAAGTCCCCAAGCTTTTGGGCACCAGGGACCGGTTCCGTGGAGAAAGGTTTTTCCATGGACCGGAGAATGTGTGGTTTTGTGTACTGCCTGCATCCCACGGATGGGACTTTGCTTGTTTGTGTAGCCCGGTTGCTGGTGTGCCGCGCCCCGGTACCAGTCCACAGACCAGGGATTGGGAACCCCTGCACTACAAGATCTGTGCCTGCACTGAATGGATAGAAGCAGTCCCTCTAATAGCCAGGCCTATGCCATGAAGAGCTTTATGGGTGATAAGAATTGCATCCAGGAGTCAACTGGCAGACCGTGCAGCTCACAAAGCAGCGGGGATTTAGGA